GCCACATTCCTCACTCTGCTCCGGGCTACTGGCTGTCCCTGCTTCACTCTGAGCCTGCTGGCCACATTCCTCACTCTGCTTCAGGCTACTGCCTGTCCCTGCTTCACTCCAGGCCAGTTGGCCACTGTCCCTGCTCTACTCCAGGCCGTTGTCTGCTGTCCCCACTCTGCTCCAGGTCCGTTGGCCACCGTCCCAACTCCAGTTCGGGCCGCTGGCCATTGCCATGGTGCTCTGGACCCACTGGCCGCCCATGCTCCAGGCCGCTGGCTGCCATCCCCGCTCTGTTCTGTGCCGCTGGCCGCTGTCCCCAGTCCGCTCCAAGCTGTTGACAAAAGAGGAAAAAGAAATTGAGAGAAAAAGAAAGATAATAATAAGAAAAGGAACGGACGGAGAGGACAAGCTCCAGCTGGAGCCTTCTACTCCACCACCATCTTGGACCAAAGGCGTCCATAGGTACAAGTATACATCCATAATATTTCTGTAAGATAGTGATATGCACCAACAGAAATAAAAAGAAATTTCAATCTAGTTTTAGTCCCCAGCTTGCCTCCAGAGTGAATCAGTATTGAGATATCTGCCATGTGGAGTTTCATTCTGCTTCCCCCAGAGGTGAGGTTGTGCCAGGAATTTGGAGTTACATTAGTTCATATGAAGAAGCTAAAGCAATTGTAATGTTTAAGTGAGCTCATAGAGGAAATGTAATGAAATGAAGACCTTTTCTCTTTGCAGATGAATGTGAACGATACGGCTTGTGTTTCAATGGTGTCCAGCCAGCCCCTCTCCCAGTAAACGTGGACATGGTTTTCGTTGTTGATGACTTGCAGCAGATGAACTCTACACAGTCAGAAACAGTTCAGCATTTTGTTACCTCAATGGTTGACACATTTCTGAGCACTACAGAACCTACAGCCTCTGGTCTTCATCCCCGGGTGGCTTTGCTACAACACACATCAAGTTACTCTCCAAGATATGGGAAAGATCCATTTACCCTAGACTTTAGAGTTCTGGATTATGCCTCAAAAACGCTGAAGAAGAGACACCTCCAAGAGCCAGTCAGTCGACCAGAGGGCACCACTGGCATTGCCAGCAGCATTTCATGGAGCTTGAAGAATTTCTTCTCAAACATCACAAATCCACAAGCTTACAAGGTTATCCTTACAATATTTTCAAGGGAAACAAGTATTGATGGGAAGAAATTATTGGACATATCACAAGAAGCCAAATGTAAGGGTTTCACGATATTTGCACTGGCCCTTGGGGAGGTATCTAATGTCACATTCCTGGAGGAGTTTGTCAGTTTTCCTTTTGATCAACATTTGGTTCACCTGGATAAGGGCCTGGAGGCTGAAATCGAATACGCACAAAAGTTTGCAGTGGCTTTTCTAAAAAACTTACCAAGTGAGTGCAATTACAACCCTTTTGTTTTATTATTTTGCCCCATTCCTTGGTTAATCCATACAGGGACAATGCAAGCAGTTCTGGGCCTACACCTTGGGAAGGATATTTTGGCACATGTTAGAGTGCAGCTCAAGTTTACCAGAACAATATTGGGACCTGAATTTTTGCTGACAAATCAGAATTGCAGAATTAGGAAAATTCTCATCTCCAGAAACCTGACCCTGGTTAAAAGTCCCTCAGAACTTCAGATTTTCATTTTTTGGGGGTGGGGACAGTGGATGGGAAGAGGTGAAAAGAGAGTCCGGAAAGTTTGGAGCTTACTGAGTCCTGGAAAATCCTGGGTGTAAGGCCAGCCTAGGTGCTCCAGCACATTGTGGAAGGAATGAGAAAAAGAATGTAAATGAAATACTCCAGCCATCATCACTCACAAACCCTGAACCCCACTTACACTGTCCCAACCATGCTAACCTGTGCCAACTCACAACCCACTCACAAGCCATGGTTTATCATACTCTTAATGACAATCTAGTCACCTTCATTCTCCCCATGACTGTTCATACCTTCTATATAGCCCTATGCACACCTAGCAATCCCCATTGCTATTCTTGACACCTATACCAACATCTATTAACACATGCCCCCAAGCAATCAGCCTTTGCTCCTACATGCCAACTTACCTATTATAGGCAATGGACAGTCCTCAGCACTATGTTGACATTAATTAAAGGTCTTAAGTGTCTGTTCACCATTTCAAATAAAATTCTTTATTGATTAAAATAAATTGCCACAGTTAATTTTCTCATCCCTTTTGAAACCAAGCATTAGAATTCACATTACATCTTAAAAGAACTTATACATACTTGTAGTTAGTCAATCGAGTTGTGAATGTACTGGTATCCCGCTGTGATAATGAAAAGTTGTGAAACCAGTCTTAATCCTGTGATTATAACTATCGGGTTTATATCATCAGAGATGTAAAATAGCAAGTATTGATATTTATTAAGACTGTAGACAATTGTCAAATATTTAAGGGGCCAGGTTTTCTAATAGCTTGAAAGTTTGACAGCTCCTTTAGATAGTAATCTTGAAAGTTCTCTTGACACCTAGCTTTATACTCAACTTGATTCTTCTTCTGACAGCTATTTTGGTGGCGATATTGGTAGCTATCTTGACTTTTTTTTTCTGGTTCTGACATGTGAAACAGTTCTGATGAGGTTATCCACATTCATAACAATCCCAAAGACACCTTATCTCTCCCAAATGACACCTCAACTCCCTCAAACATGTCCCAGAAGCAAATCTGAATCTTAACTCTCCAAAAGTTATTCTGTCATTTCAAGCAATTTTTACAGATTTAGAGCTCTTAACAGATGTTTATAATTAAGAAACTTTACTCTATTTAAAAGACTCTTTTTTTTCTTTAATTTACAGCTGAAATCAACAGTTACCCCCCTCCAGATCTAGAGAAGAAGTGCAGAGGAATAGAGTCTCAGGAGACAGTAAAAGAAGCAGAAAAAACACCGTCCTATAATATAGAACTGTATGCTTTATGGATAACTTTTATCTGTTACTAAAATTGTAATACAGGCTTTTCTCATTGTTAAATTGTGTCCTTTCCATTTCAGGGTGGTTGTAGCAGATGAAATTGAGCAACCTTCGAGTTACACCAACAATAACGGTAGGTAAAGAGAACTATTAGCTTGAATTTTGTACAGTACTCATGCCACCAGAGCTGAGACCAGGAGGTGAGCCCACAATGGGCAGTGACAAGACCTAAATAGAGAAGCAATTTCATTCCAATTAAGAGCTACTAGCCCTCAACAGTGCCACTGCTAGTGTTGGCCAATTTTGACACTATAACATGTCTCAAAATGAATGGCCATCTCCAATGAAGATAAGTGGTGATGGAGACACTGCACATTGTGGATCAGGGATTCAAAGGTGGTTCATGATAGAGACTTAATCATGCAAGTGGCCATTCCTGCTGGGATGATGGGAGGTTGGGCAAGAAGTAATAGAGGGGTCAGTGTTGACCATGTAATGCCCATTAATGAATACTATCATCCCCGGAACCCACAGGGAAACTGCTAAATTAACCTGATGGTATCCCCAATGTTGGTCTGTCCAATATGAGCAAAAGGTTCACAGAGGCAGCAAGTAACCCTTAATTAACCAGTTAAGTGTCTTAATTGCACCCCCCCACCTTCATAAGCAGACAGTTGACCGAAAACATTCCCACTGTAGGCAAACCCCATGGCAGCAAATTTTGCATGCTCCCTGACGTTTTCCCGATGATGCTGCCAGTCTTCCCTGGATCCCTGCAAGTGGCATGAAAAGTTTTTATTTTGTTTGTGTCCAACTAAAAGAAAAAGACGTTTATATAATGCCTTTCACGACCACCAGAAATTTCAACATATGTACTGAAGTACAGTCATCATTGCAATATTCGAAATGACACAGCCAATTTGTTTACAGCAAACTCTGCAAAAACTATGGGATAATTATCTGATAATTTTTTTTGCAATGTTCAGATTATGAGCTAAAAATTAGCAAGAGCGCTGGTGATCTGGGGACTGTCCTCTTCTTCAAACTCATACCATGAAATCATTTATGTCAATCTGAGAAAATCAGACAGGCACTTGGTTTAACATGTTATCTAAAAGGTAACACTTCCAATATTGCACACACTTCCAGTATTGTATTGAAATGTAAACTTTGAATTTTGCGTTCAATTTGTAACCTCTGACTCAAGGATGAGAACAAAATTTACTGAGACATGGTTGCCATTGAACAATAATATAATTTTAGGCTATGCATATATAGAGCTCAACAATCAGGGCTATCAATATCTCAAACTGTTGTTTGTAGGGTGGAAGTCTTGGTCAGCAATATTAAGGCATGCCATAAGTTGCACGTCACACTCTGGGAAGTGAGAGAACTTTGCATTCATTTGTATTCATTTTACCCATTGGTCTGCGGCAAGCTTTGACTTTCTTTTAGTGGTTTGGGTGATACCATCACCCTTTCAAAGTATTAAGACTGTATGACAATAAAATGTAGGAGCAGATATAGGCCATTCAGCCCATCTGGTCTGCTCTGCCATTCAATGAGACCCTGGCTGATTAGATAATCACCAACTCCACTTTCCTGCCTTTTCACTATAACTCTTGATTTTCTGACTGATTAACCTTAAACATTCTTAACAATGCAATCCGTATATCTTTCCTTAAATAAGAGGCCCAAAACTGTTCACAATGTTCCAACTGTGGTCTGCTAGTGCCTTGTTTAGTTTTAGCAAAACCTCCCCAGCTTTACACTCCATTTCCTTTGAATAAATGGCCAAGAATGTTCTGAATGAATTTATAAAGCGTCCAGGAACTTCAAAGACTTGTCAAGTCTTTTCAAGGAAAAGGCAATTTCACACCACTCAAGTTGACATTGAATATTCCTAAGTGTAAACATTTTGAGTATAGCTTCCATCAGAAGATTGTCATGCTACTATGCTCCTGAGTCAGCTTTGATTTGAAATTTCTTTATTAATCTGAAGTATATGAAGCTAGCTTGTAGCAATAGAACATAGCAAATCAACTTTGCCTTTAATGATGATTTGTGCAAATTATATGTTGTACTTAACATAGAATTTCTTTACCCCATTACACATGGTACTTCCACTTGTTCACAGCAACAGAAGCTTGGGAGGCCAGTAAGACCCTGCTCCTATGATGCTGCTTGGCCTGCTGTGTTCATTCAGCCCTGCACCTTGTTGTCTAAGACCCAAACATTGGCTACCGTGCAATGCAGTGTACAGGCAATTGTTTGCAAATTTGTTGTAGGGATGCTACATGAAAAATCTAGGCGGATTTGCTGGCAAGCAGCCAGAACGTGCAGGTTGACACTCAGCCCCTTTCTTTAATAATGGAAGGAGAGAGCTCTGAATTTTAGGCGGGAGATTCCAGTCAGGGCTCCTTCAGAAATGCAGAGACATATTCCCATTCTGACAGGTTTCTCAAAGTGCAGAACTATCAGGAGGAGGCAAAACGGGGCCCTTTTACACAGCCGGTGACTGCCATATTCTGAAATTTGAAGTCTAGAATCACAGCTGCTGTTAAAAGGTAAGTTTGAGGTTAGTGTGCCAGAGGGTAGGTGCGTAGGATGCTACATGGGTAGTAGGTAGGGAGTCAGCTCAGTTTATGCCAAGTGCATGGGGGTGCCAAGTAGAATACAGTGCAAAAGGGGCAAAGGATAGCATGTTAGTTGGGTAGGATGCTAAATGGATAGGGTGCCAAGGTGCAAAGAGGGCCAGGTAAGTGAAAACAGCCAATGTGACGCCACTGTTTAAAAAAGGAAGTAGACAAAAAGCAGGTAACTATAGGCCAGTTAGCTTAACTTCGGTAGTGGGGAAAATGCTTGAATCTATCATTAAGGAAGAAATAGCAAGACATCTGGATATAAATTCTCCCATTGGGAACACCCAGCATGGGTTCATGTAGGGTAGGTCATGTTTAACTAATTTGATGGAATTCTTTGAGGATATTACTTGCATGGTGGACAATGGGGAACCTGCGGATGTGGTGTATCTGGATTTCCAG